TTGATGTTTCTCTCTATCTCCCTCCCTTCCCTCTCTAAAAATAAATAAATAAAATCTTGAAAAAAAAAAGTTAAAAATGCCCTGGCTGGGCAGCTCCATTGGTTGGAGCATCGTCCTGATATGTCAAAGTTGCAGATTCGATCCCCAGTCAGAGCACAAGCAAGAATCAACCAGTGAGTGCATAAATAAGTGGAACAATAAATAGATGTCACTCACTCACTCACTCTCCCTTCCTCTCTCTCGGGGGGCGGGGGGGGGGGGGCGGTTAAAAAGCATACCAAACAATTCCATATTGCTGGGAAATACACACTTAAGAAGAAATGCACAGGAACGAAGACTGCAACTGAGGACAGAGGCTACTTACGTTGGGGAGGGATTCCAGGGGCGGCCCCAACCACCCTGATAATGCTTTATGCTCTAAATTAAGTGGTGGGCACATGCTCGGCTATATCCTTCTTAATTTATACCTACAACATCATGTGGTAAATTTTACAAACTCGCAATAAAACGCCAGGCCAAGGAGGGCTCTATCTGCTCCTCCCAGGTACCTCGTTAAGCCCACACAATCGTGCTGGCACCCAGGGCAGAAGGGAGAGAAGGGCCGTACAGCCCAGTATAACAGCGCTGGAGAGATTTTAGGTTTTAAGTTTAATGGTGTTTTACTGTCACGTTCTGATACTCGTGGCATCATTTTTTTGCATCAAATATCACACACAGAGACTGGACTGTGCTATAATCCTGGGAAAGACCCCCTTCCCTGATCCCTAGGGCCCAGAAATGCCCCCGTGCGATGGGGCGCCCTGCCCCCAGCGGCACTGCACCAAACCCCCTGCGGGGAGCACCCTGCACTACCCCGCACCTCTCCCCCAGACCAAGTGATTCTGACAATTAGCAGTGTTTGGGCTTCAAGGATCTGGTCAAGGCAACTCGATGACTTACTTCTAGACACCTGGCTAAGTAGCGTGTCTTGCTTACAAATCTGCTCTTGGCTTAGCTCAAAAACCTAAACTATGAGAACTAACATGCTACAAAGATAATCCAGCTTAGTTGATTATGAAAGAAAGTTAACTCAGTAATTCTGTTTAAAATTACAGTGATCTGTAGTAACAGACAGCCACGACTACCCTGCAAACGCATTTCCTGAACATGAGCGCACCAGGCAGTGCCTGGTGGAGGGAGCTGCCCTGTCTTTATGGGGCTTGAACTCCAACGGGGGACACTGACAGGTGACCTGGAGAGCAGTCAGCTCTACAAGGCAAGGTGCCACCAGAGAGGAGGAAAGAAACTTGCCAGTCACCAGGAATGTCTCTTTAAGAATGCGGGTAAGAGGAGGAGGACAGAGCTGTCAACAAAACTGCTCAGAAAGGGGGAATCAAAATAATGAATTACTACTTCCCTGTGGAATTTTACACCTAATTCATGAGCAGAGTATTAACAGCGCCCAAATTAGTCACCTACTATTTTCAGAAGCAGAGGTAAAATTAAATCTGTATCTCTTAGCACGTCATGAACAAATCCTACTTTACGTTTCATTTTTAAAGTGCTAGTAGGGCGAGTAACACCATCAGGCACCTACTTGTGTCTGGCAGCCCTCACAATAAAGAAACACAAACAGCAAATGGGACTGTGAGAACAGCCTTTCCTCCCAAAGGTTTTCCCGGAAGGATCTCCATCTTTACACGCTGTACAAAATATCAAAAGCCCCTAGAAACTCCCAGGGGACCCACCCTGTAAGTCACACGGTGAGCCAGTGCCCTTGGCTCGGCCTGTGCTCTCCCACCTGCTGCTGCTTACAGCACCGTGCGTGTGACCTCGGCGGGTCGCCGAGCCTCTCTCAGCTTCAGCACCAGCTGCAGAGGGTGACAGCAGGGCTGGATGTGACTCCCTGCACCCGACACAGGGTTCATCCTGCACTGTGAACTTGCCTTGCACACAGCATTGTTTTTTTATTCATTGATTTTAGAGAGAGAGAAACATCGCTTTGTTACTCTACTTATGTATGCACTCACTGGTTGATTCTCATATGTACCCTGACTGGGGATCGAACCCGCAGCCTTGGCATATTGGGACAATACTCTTACCAACAGAGCTACCCGGTCAAGGCCTTACAGTAAGAATTCTGCAACTCACAGAAAGAGAAAGAGATGGCTGTTTCAAGTGAGAAAAGCCAGAGTCACTCTGTCCTAGGTCTGTGCCTTTGTGGATCCCCCTTCATGTCACTGGACTCTGGTTCCAGCTTCAGGGCCGGCAAACCGGCGTTTCCACACCCACTCGAACGACTCTCTCTCTGGTAAACTCCCCGAACACTATCCACTGCACATCAGCATCCACGTGGGTTTGTGCCCAAGACCTGATTCCTATGAAACCTGTTACTCGACTTCTCCTGGGCACCACACACAGCAAGCAACCTCTGAGCACCCGCCTCTGGGCTGCGCTTTCCCCGCTGCCTTATTTGTCATGATGGCACCCGTGCTCGAAAGGCCCCGTGTCTTCCTCGATGGTGTGAAAACCACAACCTCTGTTTTCCCTCTTTGTTTTTTAACGTTTCTAATTTGGGAGCACAATGCGTACCTTGAAGCAAAAGTGGCTTTACCACATTTGGAACCTAACCAGAAACCTTTCACAGGAAACAGGAAGTGGCTGCTCCCCCACCCCCAGGCTGCACCCCAACCATAACCCAACTAGTTGTTCTGGCCGATTTGGGCAAAAGGGCAGAATCTGAATCAAGGAATTTTTGAGCTGGAAGAAAACGTCCACAGCATAGGGCAGTCTCGGCCAAAATAGAGCCTCCCCGTTACAAGGGGACAAAGCCCCGGCCTGGACCCGGACGGCCCAGGCCCTCCACGAGGCCCCTGGGGAGGCCACACAAAGGCAAGGTTTGGAATCCCGGGGATCGGCATCAGGAATGCACCGAATGCCTCGCAACCTCAAGGGCTTGGGTTGGAATCCAGGCCTGAATTGTCCCAGTGAAACAGCTGACTAACAATGTCAGCTGGGGCATGTTTTGATACCTTCCACTTCGACCCCACGTAGGAAGGGGCCACGTGAAGCGCTGTGACTGAGGAGCCCCCAGAATGGTAGGCGAGTGCCTGCCTGCGCCGCCCACATTCCCCTCATAGCGACATACAGTGGCCCCCCCAGAGGGGTGTCCAGAGCGCCCTGTGGGCATCTTCAGAACCCACTCCCAGGACACTTCCAGCTGTGCTGGCGGACAAAGCCGGGCACTCTCCATTTGAATGTGAAAGGCCCGCCTCCACCGGGGAAGCCCTGAAGCTGTAAAACCCTTCACACCAAGGCCAAGTGTCACGCTTGTAAGAGGGTGTGATTTATAAATTGACAGCACCCACAAAGCTGCTTTTGTCCTCCGACATTAGTTAACAATTTATCTCCCCCCACCAAACTCACGGAGCTATTCAGATAAGGCCCGACTGGGCCTCTGAAAGAAAGAAAGGAAGAAAGAAAAGGACCCAAGTTTTGGCCAAAACACCAACATGGGATAATTACGGTCCTGTGAATAGACACTAAAATTAGGGCTTAATAATTCCTCTGTATCACACTCACGGCATCCAACTATTCCAGCACAAACATAAAAGGCAAGAGCAAGAAAACCTCCAGCTCGGCCTTGCTGGGAGCTTGAGGAGTCCCCCTTCTGTGGCTGCCGCAGCCTCTTTTGTGGTTTCTGCCCTCTCAGAACAAGCGCCCCTCCCAACCCCTCAGAGTGAGTCTAACTCCACGCTCTGACCAGCTGTTTTTCTTTCTCAACACTTAAATCTGCACAGCAAAGAGGACATCTCTTTCCTCTCAGTTCGACAAAACCTTATTCTGACTGCTCCACCTCGTTCTCCCCTTCGCCAAATTCCTTCTCAGATTCACCACCGACTAGGAAACCGTCATCTCTCCTTCCCTTCCGACTCCCACTCCTCTTTCTAGAAAATGACTTTAAATTACTGCGCCAATTCCACATACCCCCTAAGTATCCATTTAGAAATATACACCTGATAACATTTGTTTCACATTGAGACCTTTCTTCTTGAAAGATTTAGTGAGAACAAAACTTTAAACAAACAAAAGCAATTCAAGTTTAAGCTGTCTTCCGCCCATTTAGGTCATCTGGATGTTACTGAATTGTCTATCAATCTGACTCTTTTTTAAAGATTTTATTTATTTATTTTGAGAGAGTGAAGGGAGAGAGAAACAGAGAGAGAGAAACATCAATGTGCAGTTGCTAGGGGCCACGGCCTGCAACCGAGGCATGTGCCCCGACTGGGAATCGAACCTGCGATGCTCTGGTTCACAGCCTGTGCTCAATCCACCGAGCCACGCCAGCTAGGGCCAATCTGACTTTTTAAGAAAACAAATATAATGGCCTTTGCTCAAAAACAGTCTTTCTGACACTATCCCACGCACCAAGCAGGTCCCGCAAACAAGTTCTCTTTAGCCTCCAGGGTTGATGAGAACAGCATCCGGGTGAGTAGGTTGCCAATATTAAAAAGTTCAGGCCCTGGCTGGTGTGGCTCAGTGGATTAAGCACCGGCTCTGCTGGCCTGTGAACTGGAGGGTCACCAGTTCAATCCCCAGTCGGAGCATATGCCTGGGTTGCAGGCCAAGGTCCCCAGTAGGGGGCGCTCAAGAGGCAACCGTACATTGATGCTTCCCTCCCTCCTTCTCCCTTCCCATCTAAAAATAAAAAAATTAAATCTTAAAACAAAATTGGGGACAGGGCATACCCTCCCCCTCCAAAACCTACATTTCTGATTCTCTAAAAAATCATCATATCCGGCGCCCTTGGCCCACACATTCCCCACAGCTCACAGGGCGGCTTTACACGGCAGCTGCACCCCTTTAAGTGGGGCAACCAACAGCCCAGCGTATCCAGACCCTCCTTTCAAGCCAACCATGCTGGCTTCCCTCGTCTGCCATTGTCACTGCTTGTCCCCACAAGGCCCGGGGTTTCTAAGCCCTGCCCCCCGCCCCCAAACACACACACACACCAGACATACCTTTTTGACCATAGTTGTCTCGGATGAATCCAGTCTTGCCCTCTTGGTATCAGGTCCATCTTCTACCCCTTGGCTAACTTTGGCAACTTTGGTTTTCTCCCTAGAGGGCGACAAGGGAAGGAACCCAGTTCTACCCTAGGAATCATGTTATGAGAACAAAGAGAGCATCACCACCTCACACAGCAGGATGCTGGTTAAGGGCAAAAACTTTGAAGTCAACCAGACCTGGATTCAAACCCCTGCCTGGCCACCCATCACCTGCCAAGCCAGGCGCCCAGCACATGGGAGTGACGGCCGCTGACAAGAGGTTGTTGTAAGGAAAGAAACAGCACACACTGCTTAGCACACTGCCTCGTGAGCTCTCGGCAGACTGTGTGAACGTTCCACCTGAATCATGAAAAGCGGAACAGAGTTCCTCCCCTCTGCCACGGGGAGCTCACGTTAAATTAATCTGGACTGCTTTCCTCCAGGACTTCTATATCCACTTACAATGTACCCAAAGAACTAGATTTTCTTAAAGCCATAAAATACTGAGGTTACAAGTCCTGACTGGTGTGGCTCAGTGGACTGAGTGCCCACCTACAAACTAGAGGATTATTGGTTCGATTCCTGGTCAGGGCACATGCCTGGGTTGCAGGCCAGGTCCCCAATAGGGGTCACATGAGAGGCAACCACACACTGATGTTTCTTTCCCTCTCTCCCTCCCTGCCTTTCCCTCTCTCCAAAGTAAATAAATAACATCTTAAAAAAAAATTGAAGTTATGAGGTCTTCAACGTTGTCTGTCTTTCCCCCAAGTGAATTTCACAGGCAAGAAACTCGCAGAGAAACTTCAGGGACTTGCCTGACAAGCGGGACTACAGAAAGCAGTTTCTGACTCTGGGTGGGAAGCTTCCCCTGCCACGCAGCAGGGTCTCTACGTCTGGTGGGGGCGGAGTGGGGGGGGTGGGGTGGGAGACAGCAGGGAGAAAATCACAGGCAAAGACCCAACTCACGCAGTTTTACAGTAATGTGCCATCTAATCAAGAAACTCCAAGTTCAAAGCACTGCAGGCCCCATCACGTGAGCATCATCACCCCGGTCTGCGACCGCAGTGCTCAAAATTAGAGGACACGGTCTGCACACTGCACCGGGGCAGTCTCTGGGCCGTGGGGCTTTCTCTCCGAGGTAGACGGTGACCAAGCGTGCTTCCCGAGCAGCCCACCTAACTATTCCGTGCTCAGTCACTGCCTCTCAGCCCGCAAGCACGCATGCCTAAGCTGGGCCACAGAGGCTGCACAAACCAGGCAGGCACCCCTGCAGAGAACATGCACTTCACTCCCGGAAATCCAGACCGGCTGATAGATGTACCTCAACTGCCTAGAACTCTGCTTTCTTTATACTGTAAAGTAGACCAGGGCGGGGACCCCATCTCCTACAATTCTGACACACAATCCACATATCATACACTCTTAATGAACTGATTTCCCAATGTTCTAAGTCTTATGGTGAAAGACTTTCCTTAAAGGCTCGTTTCCCACCACTGAAGAAAACTACACCTTGAAAATGTCACCTCTCCTCCTCCGCCAACACTTACTCTACAAATTCGTGCTCTCCGAGGTTGGCAAAGGTGTATCCGTGGTAGCCGAACACATCGCCTGTGAAGAACTTGATGCTGTTTTTGTGGCAGATCTGGTCAACCTTCACGATGACGTCCCTGGAGCAGCGCGTCAGGCAGACCTGGGGGAAAGAGGAAGGTGGACGGGCCTGAGTGCTGTATACTGCAGACCCCTGCCCTGACGTCTAATCAACCTGAATGCGCAGCCTCGCCGGGCATGGGCGCGTCCACTGCCAGTTCCAAACTGGTCCAGCAGGTTCCCTGGGCCCAACAGTTAGAGACGGAAGAGAAGGTGCAGGTTCAGTGTGTAGAAAACGTAAATGATGAGACTGTCGCTTTCTGCTTTCTGTAGCCCAAACAAAACGTGTTTAGCCAGAAAGTAAAGGCCATTCGATAAATTTGTTTCCCCTGATCCTTGAATATATGTAAACCATATTTCATAGTTCTTGCGAAAGGAAAAGATAGTAACAACTTAGTGTAAATTATTTCTAAAGGGTCAAAGATATTAAAATATGAATAAGCTACAGCAAGAAGCAAAACCAGTTTTTAAAACTGACCCATAGGTCACGTTTAAATACAAGGGCATTCTCCCGCTTCTTTTGATTGATATGTTGAGATAAAAAAGATAAACAAGTCCTGTTGAGATTGTTTTTCCAGTTTTCCATGTGAAATTTTATCTGAATTGAAGGACAAAAGGAAAGGTTACGGACCGAGTGACCTTCCATTCAGACTTAAGACAATGAGCCATGGCTCATGCCGTGGGATCATCGATGCTGCTCTGAAGCCCGAGGTTCTGTTCCGGTAAGTGGGGATACTGAAAATGGCTAAACGTCACCGCACAAAACATCGTCTTTCCGGGAGGAGCTTTGTGATCAGAGCCCAGAAGGGAACTCCTCACATGTACCTTTCTCATCTGAACATACAAAGTTGGAGAAGAAATTACAATAGGGTATTTCCATGTGACGGGCCCTCTCTGGCAGCCTGAGCACTGAAATAACACTCACAGGGAAGTAAGTGCCTCTGGCGACATTCAGAAGACACGGCCTCCCATGGAAAAATCAAATCAAGAAGCTGTGACAGCCACAGGGCAACGTGCAGTCACTGCCCAATGGACGCCTGCCTGGTCACAGGCAGTCCCATGTGGCCTGTAAGACAGTCAGGCCTGCCCCATGCATGTGCCTTATACAAGCAACCGGCCCCATGCCTCGGCTCTAACAGAGCTTCTAATTGCTAGAACTTCCAGGGACACCTAGGATACATCAAATGTGGTTACTGTGGATAAAAAAAATGAAGAGAAGACTTTCTTCCACATGGAAAACGTCCCAATATCTGGAGTCACGAAGCAGAGTGAATTAAAGAGAGAAAAGGACAAAGCGCACAGACGAGCCGTCATCTCAAGCCGGTATCGGAACAGATGCACGTGTGAAATGTAACAGCATGTGGAAACAAACCGCCCAACCCAACGCCTAACCTCCTGCGGGCCGGGCCTCTCATCTAAAACGCAAGATCGATCATCTGTGACTATTTCACAGCCGTCCGAGCTTCCTCCAGGGCACGGGACCCATGTCGGAAAGGTCACAGACAGTGAAACAGAACTTAACTTATCCTTTCACCTCTGCAGAGAGCTGGCAGTGAAGCCGAATGGGCAGGATATGCCTCATTTGGCTTATGACTACAGCGATTTTGCCGCGTTGTCCATGGCAACGCGGTCGGAGTGGCTGTGTGAAAGAGACAGACCAAGATCAGGTGTGTTCTTTTCTAAAGACAAAACACAAGCTGTAGTTTGGTATTTCTAGCAAAAGAAAAAAAAAATTGACTCTGCTACAGAAATTAATCACCAACTTGTTAAGTTTTCAGGAGAAAACATTTGCAATTAAATGCACCAAAGCCATGTGCACAGATTCTGGAAGGAAGACAACACAGCCCGGATGGAGCCTGGTCCGGGGACTCCCGCACAGACCCGCGGCCCAGGGCCCCTTCCCACTTGTTCCACCCACTGAGGAGGCCGAGTACTAGGCCTGAAAAACAGCCTAGCTTACAAAAGTTTGGGGGGGGGGGAGGGGAGCACAGAATTCAAGATTCTAATGTTCCAGTTTACCTAGAACACACACAATTAGCGCTATAATTTGCTGCACTCCCCCAGATCGGACGTTCTCTGTGAAACTTACAGCGTCGAACTGAGTAAAGAAGGACTCCGGTTTCTTTTCTATGTTCTCCGTGTCCACCTTCACGTCCACCATGGGGTTGAGATTCTGGGCTCGCTCCAAAGAGGCTTCGGCCCTGTTTCGGCCAACAGACCCAGTGCGGATCAGGAACTGAGCTCCAGGGTCTTCTGGAGATACCTGCAGAGAATTTTTTTAAAAATACTTGAATTTTGGGGAAAACATATCTCCAAGACAACTAACCTTTCCATTTTAAAGGATAACTAAAATACCCAGCATCTAATTGCAACACTGTTCCTGCAAGAATCTGCCTAATGCAGACTCCCCACACCCTTTCCTTCTGCAGCTTTAAAACGGGGACATGGAACTTTTACTGGGCATTGATGGTTAGAGATCGCCCCCTTGTGTTTATAAAGAAAATTCACTCTGAAGAGAAACGCCCATGCTTTCCTCTACTTCAGTTTGTAACAACTAACAAAACGACACAACTATCATGGTAAGAATTCACCAAATACTTACCATGTGCCTAACTCTGAGCACTCAGAAATGTAAGTAGTTTAAAGGATGTAGTCCCGGCCTACAGGGGTTTAAAATCAGACCAGGGCAAAAATCAAAACATAATTAAGAATGCCTGAAATAAACTCAAGTTCAACTGAAGATCAGAGGAGGAAAGATGAATGGGGGCTAGAGTAGAGAGATGATTTCACCCATAAGGCTGGATACCATAATCATGTGACTCCGTACTGTCCCACACAAAGCCTTTCTTCCCACATTGAACCGTTGTTCTCTAGGTACGAACTTGCCACCGTCCCCAAGACTGGGTTTGCCAGGAGTAATCTCCCCTCCCCTCTTCCTCCTGCCAGCATCCACAGTGCTAACTACCTTCCTGCCTTTCCTCCAAGAAAATACGTTGGTCTCTCTCCCATTCAAGGCCAGCACTCTGACAGGATCCTTGACCCCTCCCATCCTGCTTCTTCAGGGATCTCATTATATTCCGAGAAGCTGAACACCATGGTGATTGAGGGCAAGGCTCTGAAATAATTCAGGCAGGATTCAAATCTTTGATTCAAATGCTGGCTCACCTACTTCCTGTGTAACTCTGAGTGCGTATGGAGGGACCAGGTGTAAAAGGAGGATGTTAATAAAAAAAACCGCACTCGCTAATTACTCCATCCATGTTCACTATCACTATCCGTGCTCTGTTTCCCTGGCTTCGCAGATCCTGGCTTTCCTCCCCACTTGCTGGACAACGCAGCCTCTGCAGGCCCTCTGAGGGGCGGCTGTCCCTGAGTTCCGTCTCAGAGTCACTCATCGCACTCCGTGTACCACCACATACCAACTCAATGCCCCTTTTAGTTCCTCCAAGAATTTTCTAGTATTTCTCAAATCGCTCTTTTAACTTTTTTTTTTTAAGATCTTATTTATTTTTAGACAAAGGGGAAAGGAGGGAGAGAGAGAGAGGGAAACATCAATGTGTGGTTGCCTCTCACGCGCCCCATACTGGGTACTTAGCCAGCAACCCAGGCATGTGACCTGACTGGGAATCAAACCTGTGACATTTTGGTTAGCAGGCCTGGGCTCAATCCACTAAGCCACACCAGGCAGGGTTCAAACTGCTAACGGTACAGATTTCTTCCTGCTTTGAGTCTTGTATTAAATTAACTGCCTACCAGATACTTCCTCCCAGATATCCCAAGGGCTCTTCATTATCTGACTCCTGTATGTGTCATCTTTGTTGATGAGCCCGCCAACTTCGCATCCAGCCACCCAAACCAGAAACCTGGTCTTCACACCTTCGCCATATCCTCAGTAGGAGCCATCTGCTACGATGGCTGGGCATGGGCTCTAGCGGGAGTCAGACTGACTGGGTCATGGTCTCCCACTGACAGCTGTGACCTTGAGTGGGCCAGTACTTCACTTCCTTTCCCTCAGTTTTCTCATCTGTAAAGTAGGGATGATGTTCCCTGCATCTCAGAGCTGCTGCGAGGACTAGATGAGGTACTGGAGCCACGGCTCTTAGAACAGTGCCCAGCACCTTCCGTAACTGTACGCTGCTCTAAGGTATTCCTTGCTTTCCTCTCCCACCCACGTACAACCCTATCAGTTCTACCACTGAGCGTTTCTCACCGCCGTGTGCTTCCTGCACAATCACCAGTACCATTCCTCAGATCCTCGCCATCTCTCACCAAAACTACTAAAAAAGCCTTCTAAGTGGTCTTGTCCCAACCACAGCTGATACAGTAATTAGCGATCCACCCAAAGCCCAAAGGTGACCAGGTCACATAACACCTCCCACATTGGAAAATTTTAAGTGGAAGTGTACAGCAGGGCTTACTAGTACGCTCTTCATGACTTGGAGCATAGTGGCATCCTGCTCCCACACTACGATTCCACACTCTAATCATTCCAGTCTGCTTGCTATGTTCTATTTCTCCCCTGCAACTTCGTGCCACTGCTAGGTCCCCTGCCTGGGATACAGCCCTCGACAAGCCTCTACTCGTTGAATACTCAGCTCAGTTCAGAACCACAGGAGACTTTCATGCCCCCTACCACAGCCTGAGTCAGGGAGCCCAGTCTGGTTCCCGGAGGAATCTTAACAATGGAACCAAATGCTGTGCATCTGTGTATGGCCAGTGCCTAGAGTGCTTCTGGGTAACAGAAGATGTGTTGGATGCCTGTTGAGGTAGCAAAATGAAAAACTCAAAGAGACCAGGAATAACGCCCTCATTTTACAATGAGCAAACCCAGTCTCTGAGAGGCTAAGTCCTTTGCCCAGCTTGAGGAGGGGGGATTTGAGCCCAAGTCTGCGTGATTCCAAACCTTTCTGCACTACACAGCACCATCTCCCTGGCATGTTCCTAGTCGGGGGGAGGAAGAACGCAAGCAAACTGCAAAGGGCAGACCAACCACCGAGTGATCATTCGTGACCTACTCAGTTTATGGGGTGTGGGTCAAGCCAGGTAAGCTGACTGGGACCAGACTGTATGAAGCCACTGGTTCCCAACACCCTGTCAGCCTCACCTGAAGAACTTCTAGTTTTAAATACCACCCTCACCCCCCGCCCACATATGCTAAAGCACTGAAGGACTGAGAACCTTGAGGTTCAGCCTGGAGATCCAGTCAGAGGGTTAAGCCGTGCAGTGGGAGGCGGGCAGAAGGCACTGTGAGTCCTCCAACTGAACAAGTTAAGGGATGACAGTCAGCCTGTTCACTCCCACGCTGGGTGGCATACATCACCGCACTGGGGCAGTGACAGAACCATGTCACATGCCCCTTGGTGTTGCACTGCCATTCCCCTTTTCCACACCAAGAACCTCCAAGCGTAGGAACCATCTTTCCTCGAGGCTCTCCTCTTACCCTCTACACCACAAATGCTTCCCATAGATGGGTCGCTCCTGCCTCCAGGGGGCACTGTGCTCGGGGCACTGTGACTTCAAAGCAGAGGTACGCAGACTGTTGATAACCTGGCAGTTTACTTGCAGGAATTTTCTTTCCTCGGGTTTTAAGTCATGTCAAAAAATCAATATATGACTGTGACATTAAGTGAGTCAACCCACATTTCCTTTCATATTGCAGTAAACTTTTAAAAAATGAATGATTCCAGAAAGTTTTCTTCCAAAACCCAGAACAAGGTGTACTTTTAAAAACTGCATTAACAGCCCCAGCTGGTGTGGCTCAGTGGATTGAGTGCTGGCCAGTGAACCAAAGGTCACCGCTTTGATTCCCAGTCAGGACACATGCCTGGGTTGCAGGCCAGGGCTCCAGTGGGGGGGAGTGCTGTTTCTCTTCCTCTCTTTCTCCCTCCCCCTCTCTCTGAAAATAGATAAAATCTTAAAAAAAAAAAATAAAAACAAAAAACCTGCATTAACATTTACTTTTGCGCACAGAGCCTAGACCTCACACTGTGTGCTAGTTACTCAGCATGAGACAGGACCCTGTTCATCACCTAAAGGAGACAGTGACACAAATTATAGTGTGTGACACAACAATCTCCTAAGTATTTTACCCAAAGATGTGATTTCTGGAATTTGCTTTAAAAAACCGTCCAAAAAAAATAGGGGGTAGAAGTTAAAATTTTTTTTTAAATCCACGGTATGTGTAGCAATCAGGTAGATGGGATGTCAAATATTATTCTCTCTACTTTTATGCATATTTGAAATATTCTATTAAAAAAACCTAAAATGTCACTGACGCATGAGAATGTAGAGAAAGAACAAATTACTTTCACCATGGAGAAAAGACAGGTCAGAGGAAAGCTATACTGGAGTTGTAGCTTTCATCATTAAGTATTGTTCTGGGACAACTGTACTTATTATATGATGTAAACATCACGACGTCATTAAAACCATTCCCGGATCATTCTCGAGCAGCACGACATCAGACAACCACTCCTCACTGGGCGCTTTGGTTGTGACGTGCAGGCACTACGCTAACCAGTCCGCACACTTCCATTCCAACCCAGAGTTTTCCAAAGTGATGCCTGCGAACCATTCACATCAAGATCTCCTAGGATACCCTCTGTTTACTTTTTACTTTTTAAAAATTGAGTCCAGATCCCTTTTAACAGCATCTGTTCCCGAGCCTTCCCTCAGACTCTGCACTAAAGCAGTCACTGGGGGGCGCAGGCTCCGCCGTGATGGAGCTCCGAGGCAGCTCTGCGTTTCCGGTTACCCAGGGGATTTCCACGCACAGACTGGAGAGCTACTCCTCTGTCCCTCGGGACCACTCTCCAACGCAGCAGTAAACTGCACTTACGGATTAGCAAGCTCCGCCAGCAGTCTTCACTGACCGCCCACCTAGAATGTGGCAGTACGGAAGTCGGACACATTGTCGGTCTCCAAAGGCTACCGTTCTGTTCAGGCCAGCCCTCCTTTCATAGCCCGTAAGGGGAAAGCAGAACTCCCCAAATCTCTAAGTGTTTATACCCAAGAGAGAAGACAGCTTTTGCCCTGGCCAGGTAGCACAGGTGGCGAGAGTGTTATCCTGACATGCCAAGGTTGCGGGTTTGATCCCTGGTCAGGGCACACACAAGAAGCAACCAATGAATCCACACGTTAAGTGGAACAACAAATCAATGTTTCTCTCTCTAAAAACAATTTTTAAAAAGGGGTGGGGGGACTATTTGGGTCATTCTTTGGAGAGTGAGGAGGTGGCCGCACGTCTCACCTGCTCGTGGTCCAGCATGGTCAGTCCTTTCACTCCCGCCAGGATGAGATTCTTGGCGATTTCCGCCCCGAGTCCTTTCATGCCGACAAGCAGCACCCGCGAGGCCCGCAGCCTGAAAGGCAGACACTGTTAGCGGAATGGCAGAGGGCCGTGGGAATGTGCCGAGTCATTGTGGAACAAAACGAAAGGGCTGTAACTTTAATTTTCGTTAATTAACTTCATGGAAGCAGCACAGCCTCTGGACAAGAAAAGAGATGCTCAGACCCATCCTGCAGGGAACAGTTCAGTCAACAAGTATTTGCCTAGCGCCCATGCCAGGCACCTCCCTACCCTTCCATAACTTATACTCCATGAAGGAAGGTTTATAGTCGTTTGTATGAAAAATAATACAGTAATTAATAAATAATACAAGAATAAATACACGAATAAATTCCATTTTGCATACTCGCAACTGTAAATCTACTTTTGCCCCACCTTGTATATCACGTCAAAAAGTCATGAAAAATCGAGCGGGATGGGGGCCCAGAATAGCAGAGGATGCTATTTCAGTCAGACTCATCACGGAGGCCTTTCTGAGGCTGAGCACAAATCAAAATGAAACAAGAAAGTGAATACACAGATATTTGGGAGAAGAGCATTCCTGACAGAGAAAACCCAAGTGCAAAAGCCCTGGGGCAGGAGTGCTCGGTGTTTCGGGGCCAGGAAGAGGAGCAGCGAGCAGAGGGAAGACTGGTAGGCAATGAGGGTGCGGCCAGAACCAGGGGCTGCATTGTGAAACCTCTCCCGGGCACCAGAAGGGTTCAGGATTTCACTGGAAGCCTGGTGGAAAGCCATGGGGAGGGGCCTGGAGGGGAAGAGCATCGCAGTTAAGGTGAGAGGACGATGGCTTGCACCAGCATGACAGTGCAAGAAGAGGCAGCAAGGGGTCCTATAGGCCTCAACACACAAGCAAGACCACGGCAACAGGAAGGAGGGCGTAGCGAGGAAATGTTTGGGTCGTTCTAACTGTGACTACGGTGTCACAGAAGATTGGGCTGACAGAAGGCAGTCAGAGGCTGGGCTCTCTATCCCACGCAGTTTGGACTTAGCTCTGAGGACAGTCGGAGGCAGTATATAGGTCCACAATATCTTAATTTGAAATCTTTCGGGGTTGGGAGGAAGATATACAAAATTCCCATATGTAACAGCATAAGTTCCTTTCAACGAGAAAAAAAAAATCCCTTGAAGCAGAAGTGCTGCAGAATCCGAATTTTCAGATTTGAAAAAGGAATAATAGAGTATGCTGTCACACAGGCCCTGGTCTCACGGGGTGATCACTTCATGAAGTGTGAATGTCTAGTCCCTGTCATATGCCTGAGGCTAACGTGATCTTGCACGTCGACTGTAAATGAAAAGTCAATTTTGCCTTGGCCAGGTAGCACAGTTGGTTAGAGTGTCATCCCGATACACCAAGGTTGTACGTTCAATCCCTGGTCAGGGCACGTACAGAAAGTAACCAATGAAGGCATCGCTAAGTGGAACAATAAATCAATGTTTCTTTCGCTCTCAAATCAATAAATAAAAAAAGAAAAATGGATTAAAGAATACAAAATAAAAAAAGTAAAGTGCTTGGGAATGCAGATGGGTGCAGCCATTATGGAAAGCAGTGTGTAGATAGATCAAAAACCTCAAAATGGATCTGCCTTTTGACCCAGCAATCCTACTCCGGGGGATCCAAACACTATATATCCAAAGAAACCCCAAATGCTAATTCAAAAGAACACAAGCACCCCTACACTCACTGCAGTGTTGTTTCAATCGCCAAGATATGAAAGCAGCCCAAATGCCCATCAGTAGATGAGTGGGTAAAACAACTATGGGACATTTACACAATGGACTACTGCTCAGCCATAAAAAAAGAAGAAAATTTCACCCTTTGCGACAGTATGGATGGACGTGGAGAACATTATGCTGAGTGAAATAAGCCAGTCAGAGAAAAACAAGTACCATATAACATCACTCATATGTGGAATCTAATGAACTGAACTAACAAGGAAAAGAGAGACAGAGTCACAGAGGAGGATGACACCTACGAGGGGAGAGGTTAGGGATGGAGGGATGGAGCAAAAAGGACTTATGCACATGGACAAGAGCGTCGTGATTGTGTGTGGGGGGGATATAAGAGGACTCAATGGTAATGGGAAAAAATGTAATAAAAAAGACAATTAAAAAAGTAAAAAAGAACAGTCTCACATAAATCCAAGTTCTGCTGGCCAATGAGTTTGTTCTTAATTTATACAATGAGTCAATTCTCTCACCCTGTACAAGCACTGGGGAGAACATGTAGAAATGCTTCTCCAAAAACAGCTCAAATAGCCCTGACCAGTGTGGCTCAGTTAGCTGGGCGTCATTCTGCACACTGAGAGGTCACCAGTCAGGGCACATACCTGGGTTGCAGGTATGGTCCCCAGATGGGATGCAACCAGTCCATGTTTCTCTCTCTCGCATCGCTTTTTCTCTCCCCTCCCTCTAAAAATAAATAAACTCTTTTTTTAAGAAAATGGCTGTAATCTTGATGGACATGGCCCGTCATTAGTCTGGAAGTGTTTGGTGAGAACGGTGGCCGAAATCTGCCCTGATTCTTGATGTCGGCAGATCTGGGAGGTCCCTCACTGACACGATCAAGGAGAAAATGCAGACAGAGGGAGAATATTGACACTATTTCCCTCAAAGTCATTTGTCTGGGCCTCGGCTTTCTCCATTATTGCTTTTATTCTTCCACGGCCAACCACAGGCTAGCAGGCACAGCCTCTGGAGTGACAATCCCACGGCACTGGAACAGGAGGAAGTTGAGACGAGGGCTTACAAGATATGAGCAAGGTAAACACAGGTGCCAGGAATGAGCAGGTCCCTTGTCCGAGATGTACCGCATCATAGCGATGGGTGTGGGAGGAAGGCAAATTATGCAGCCTTCTGAAAGAGCTCTAATCCCTCCAGAATCAGCAAATATAAGCAATGTTTCCTAAACGAATGCAGTGCCCATATCAGACATTCGACATCTGAAAGGCTGAGCACACTTGCATTTAGCTGTCCCTTCTCCAAGTCTCTGCCGTCACTGTGAGTCTACGAGCCCTCCCTGCACCTGGCCCTCATGCTGCCGCACCTGGAACTCCAGGTCCTGAGCTCCCTTTCTGTCTGAGTGACGGGGTTTTCTGCTGTCTGGCTGCTCAAAGGTACAGCTAGAATGGCCCAGTTCTCTTCTGGGAATCTGTACCTTCAAATGTTACCGATGGCCTCCCGATCTCAAGCCCACCAACTTCTCAGGCTCCCTTCTTCTCGACAGTCTTTCAGCAACAGGCGTGCCAATCATGCGCGCCTTCCAGGTCAGAAGACCTGGGTCTGAATTCTGGCTCTGCCACTTCCTACCTGGGTGTCCTAGACAGGCTGCACAATCTCGCTAAACCTCAGGTACTCACCCGTAAAATGGAGATACCAATTCTGACTGCATGTTATTTAATCTCTTCCACAACCTGGTCAAATGTGTATGCAAAGCCATCCACCATAATCTCTGACATATAACAAATACTTAGTATATGTTACTTTAATTTATTGAACTCCCCAATCCCTACTGTCTTATCTATAAACAGCTCAGTAAACAGTTCATTTTGATTTTCAATAAAACCTAACCAAAAAAAAAATCTAAAGCTGGCATTTAAAGCCACCCAGTACTGACTCCCTCCCTACTCCCCCAGCCTTATTTTGCGCATGCCCAAACAGGCCAGCAGCTTCCGCCTGCACACTTCAAACCACAGCATCCCCTGCAACCCTCAGAGCTCTCCAAATGCTGACTGCTTGCGGGTTTCTCATTCAAGTGCATCACCACTCACCATCATGGAGATGTTGTTAATTCTGAACTGAGCCAGGGGCCCTGAGACTACAGCTGACTTCTGGCTCAATTACATGAAAAGCACTTGAAATAGTACCTGGCCCAGCCCTGGCTGGTGTGGCTCAGTTGGTTGGACCTGAGTATAAGTTACCTAGATGACAAAAGGAATTGAGATAATGTGATAAATTAAGGGCTCTGAAATGGGGAGATTATCCTGGTTTATGGGAGTGGGTCCAAGTAAACAGGGGATAAGCGAACGGAGGAAGAGGTCAAAGAAGTGATGACAAGAGCAGGGGTCATGGTTAAAGAACAGAGCTTCGAAGATGTCATGCTGCTGGCTTTGGAGATAAAGGAAGGGGCCACAAGACAAGGAACTCGGGTGACTCTTAGACACGAGGGAAGTCAAGCTCAGAGATTCTTCCCTAGAGCCTAGAGCCTGTGGTCCCCACAGGGACCACAATTCTGTGTATACACCTCGATTTTAGCCACTGAAACTGATTTCAGAGTTCTGGCCTCCAGAACTATAAGGGAATTTGTGTTAAGGCACTAAATTTGTGGTAATTGTTACGGCAGTAACAGAAAATGGAATACAGTGAGGCACAGTGAAGAAACTTGCTAAAAATCACACAGCTACCGAAAGGCAAAGCAGGTATCAACTCCAGCAATATGTGCTCTTAAAGTTACACTGTCTCTCAATATCACATAAATGTAAATTACATTGTGACATGCTGTGTATATAATACACTGGTATCAACAATGGCAGTAATTACCCATGGCTGGTGTGGCTCAGTGGATTGAGCTCCAGCCTGCAAACCAAAGGGTCGTAGGTTCAATTCCCAGTCAGGGCACATGTCTGGGTTGCAGGCCGGGTCCTCAGTAGGGAGCGCGTGAGAGGCAACCATACCTTGATGTTTCTCTACCTGTCTTTCTCCCGCCCTTCCTTTTTCTACAAAATAAATAAAATGTAAAAGAAAAAAAAAAAAACCCACCACACATCCTGTTTCATTCAAAAAAAAAAAATCTTAAAAAATTAAACAATGGACCCTGGCTGGCGTAGCTCAGTGGATTGAGCACAGGCTGTGAACCAAAGTGTCTCAGGTTCGATTCCCAGTCAGGGTACACGCCTGGGTTGCAGGCCATAACCCCCAGCAACCGCACATTGATGTTTCTCTCTCTCTCTTTCTCCCTCCCTTCCCTCTCTAAAAATAAATAAATAAAATCCTTAAAAAAAAATTAAACAATGGGCT